TCTTCCGGGACCCAGGAGCAGGAAAGGGCCATTATGAAAGGGTTTCCTTTTCCCACTGCAGATGGCATTTTCTTCTGTGTTGAGCGTTTCCAGTGAGGAATTGCCATGAACTGCACGCGGCCCCTGTGCCCAGCACAGATGCCTCTATCCCAGGTCCAGTGGCTTCCAAGTTCATGTGATATCTACTTTTTAGAATTTTCTTTTAAAGGAAAAGAAAGGTAGGGGAGGTGTCTCAGGAAAATCAAGGGTAGAGTAGAAGAAAGAGACCAGGGGAGAGAGGGGAGGAGAGGAGAGGAGAGGGGAGGGGAGGGGAGGAGAGAGGAGAGGGAGGAAATACTGGGGAATTATATTGACCAAATTTTGTTGCCATGTCAATGATATAGTTGTAAATAGAATTCAACATCACATTGAAAATTCACACAGAATGATCAAGTTAGTTTTATTCCAGAGATACAAGATTGGTTCAGCATATGCAAATCAGTAAATGTAATATACCACAAACTTAGAATCAAAGATAAAAATCACATGAGCATATCCACACCTACAGGAAAATATACTTGAAAAGCCACAGGAGTATGAATTAGTCATAAAACATCCCTGATGTTAGCGTATGTTACTAATAATCCGACTGAAATTGTCAACAGGAACCCAGTGACAGTGATGAGAATTTACTGTAGGGCTGGGGATGTTGCTCAGTGCTGTGATGCCTGTCTAGCATGTACAAGGCCCTGGGTTCAACCTCCAATACTGAAAAAAAAAAAGGATTATGGTAACATGTTTGAACCAATTGATAATCCATGGGTGGAAAAAGAGGGTACACCTAGAAATACTATCATTTGGTGAAGGGATATTTCTGGAAAAGTATATGTAACTGAGTTATGTCTAGGAATATTTCTCTAGGTCCTACTTTTAGTGTGTGGTTATATAATGAAATTTGTATATAGATAGGTTTATTTTGCTTTTACTTTTCAAGGATAATTTTTTGTAGAATTTAATTTTATTTTTCCTTTATATAAAATATTGTCATATTCCCAAAGTAATATTTTATGAAACCATGTATGCTCAAACAATGGTTTTTTCTTTGTTTGTTTTCCGATCATTGAGCCACATCCCCAGCCCTATTTTGTATATTATTTAGAGGCAGGGTCTCACTGAGTTTCTTAGCACCTTGCTCTTGTTGAGGCTGGCTTTGAACTCCTTAGCCTCCTGTCTCAACATCCTGACCTACTGTGCCACCATGCACAGCATAGTCAAACAATTTTAATTTCTATCCCTGTCTCTTTCAGTGGGCTTTTCTTTCCTTTTCCAGACAATGAATTTCAGAAGGAGATTTCCTGGTGAACTTTCTCTGGAAGTCAGTATGTCCCCATGAAACTGTCTTTTATCTTCCTGCTCTTAGGGATCCTCTTGATCTTCTTCCTCATTAAGCTGACCCAAAGGGACTATGGTTTACTCTCTTGGACTGCTTTCTGTTTCCACACCAGTGTGCATAATGGCACTAGCTCCTGATCATCTCAACATTTACATTATTTTTCCCACCAGATATACTAGCAATATTTCTTTAGGGGTGGGTTTAATGTCATCTGCTAACATGTTTTCTCAACCTCTCCCAGATCTATGAACCTATATTTACAAAAGGCTCTGGCTACAGAAGAATTCCACCAGATGTGGACAGAATGTGGTCTCTCTGACTCCCACACTGGGATGATTGGCTTTTTAAAGAAAGGGAAGGCTTTCTTTGCCTTTGACTCCCTGGGAGAACCATATATACAACATAGGTGCTCAGTATATGTTAAGGAACTATTTAGTAAACTAACAACAGAAATTTCCCCAAATTATGAAAATTATATGCACATTCAGGTTCTCGATTTATTTGTGGGGTGTGTGTGTGTGTGTGTGTGTTGTTTCCCTTTTTGGTACTAGGGTACTAGGTATAGAACCCAGAAATGCTTAATACTTGATGCCTAACCCCTGTTCTTTTTTAAAAAAAAAGTATTTATTTTTTAGTTATATGTGGACTCAATGTCTCTATTTTTTATATGGTGCTGAGGATCCAACCCAGTGCCACATGCAGATGATTGCTAGGTGAGCAATCTACTTCTGAGCCACAACCACAGCCTGCCAGTCCTTTTTTAAATTTTTTGTTGCTGTTGTTTGTTTGATTGAGACAGGCTCCACTAAGTTGCTCACACCCTCCCTGAGTTGCTGAGGCCAACTCTGCAGTCCTCCTTCCTTGGGTTCCTTAGCCGCTAGGATTACAGGTGTGTGCCACCATGCCCAGCTTGGGGTTATGTTTTTGCTTGTTCCTGTGTTTGTTTTGCTTTTTGAGTCATTTATATATTCCGGATATCAGTCCCCTGTCAGAGGAACAGCTAAGGAAGGTTTTGTCCATTGTGTAGACTGTCGCTTCACACTTTCTATCCTTTCCTTTGCTGTGCCAAGGCTTTTTAATTTGACGGACTCACATTTACTGACTCTTGATCTTCTTAAGACCCTAAAGGGGAAGGGGTCTTGTTAAGGAAGTAATTGCCTGCACGTATTGGATAGAGTGTTGCCCAGTGTATTCTTTTAGCAGTTGCAAGGTTCAGGTCTCTTTCCTCAGTCTTTGAGGAGCGGGCCGGGAGCAGGGCTCGGGTCCTGGGGAGGGAGGGCTGGGCGCTTTCCAGAGGAGCGGGGCGAGGCCGCGGCATTGCTGGAGTCGGCTCGGCCGGGCAGGCGGTGGCAGAGAAGCGCGACGGAGCCCGGACGACCGCAGAAGAGGCAACCGGAGCCCCGGAGACGCGGGTCCCGAGGAAACCTCGGATAGAGAGCCCCGCGCAAAAGTCGGGGCGAGCGCGTTCGGGGGCGAGCGTTAAAAGTCGTGGAGGGCGAGTCTGGGGCGAGCCAGTCCCGGGCCAGCAGCGAGGCTGCGCGGGGAGCTGCGTCGGGGGCGGAAGGAAGCCGGGGTAAAAGAGAGCGGTCCGGGAGCCGGCGGCGAGCGGGGCTTTGCATTTTCAAACGCCAGGAGAGAAGAGGGGCGAGGGGGCGCGTGGAGAGCGTGGAGGACTGGGGACAAGTGACCGGTGAGTAGGGCGAGGGCAGAGCAAGCCCGGTGGGGCCAGGCCCAGCGGGTCGGGCTGCGGGATTCGCAGCTTCCTCAGGTGCCCGGCAGCTCCTCAGCCTGCGTCTGGAGCCCGGGCCGCGGGCTTGCGAACGAGCATGAACGCGAGGTGGGGGTGGGCGCTGGCGACCCACGGGAAAAGGGAAAAGTCCCCCACCTTCCGACAGGAAAAGGGGTGCAGCGGAAGCTGAGGGCCTGGCCGCCGGGCCCAGAGGCTTGCAGGAGGGTTGGCGCGGCAGGGCCGTCCCCTTGGTTTGGATTCTTCATTGGTACCGGGTAGTCAGCTGATTCACTCTGTCTTCGCGGCCTGACGTTCTATCCTCAAAGCTGGAAGCGCTGCTTTCTAGGCCGTCTAACGTGTAGGTGCTGTCCCCTGGGAGCTTTTAATTGGATTCCTTGTCTCATTCATTTACAGCTAATCTGATTGGTTTTTTTTTTTTTTCAATATAGCCATTTCTTTAACGACATGGTCTTTCGTCTGCATTTATTCTCTTATTCAGTTGTTAGATCTTCTTTTAGATCATTGGACGTTTTAATAATTACTTTTTCATAATCTTTATCTGGAATTTCATCCACTTCCATATCTGTGGGATCCTTTGTTGGAGGATTGTAAATGGGGGAGGGGGGATTTTTTGCTTGTTTCCTCATATTTTCTGAGATCTTGGACTTTCACACCAAATGAGATGGATTTTCTTTCCTCTTTTATATATGGGTCCCTTTGTCTGTAGTTATCCTTTTGTTGGTATATTTCTGTTTCTGATATATGAGTAGATGTCCAGGAGTGGGACCTAAGATCTCCTCTGGTTGTTCCTCCTTGGGGCTTGGTTGTTAGTTTCAGAGTTTTGTGGTTTATTTTTTATTTGTTTGTTTGTTTGCTTGCTTTTAATATTTTTATAGTAGATGAACATGCCTTTATTTTATATTTCTGTGGTGCTAAGGGTTGAACCCAGTGTCTCACAGGGTGCTAGGCAAGTGCTCTACCAAACTGAACTGTAACCTCAGCCCCATAGTTTCATATTTTTATCTCCCCAGTTCTATGTGTTGAAGTTTTGTTGAGGCTTAGATGAGGCTCATGTATGGGGTAAGATTCACTATTATTTGCTGAGTTGTGAGTATTGCTTGGCAGCACTTGAAATGTCCCAATCACTTTCCAGCCCAGCTTAGAAGAAGAGGGGAGCCAGGAATTGCTCTAATGTTAACAACAGAGGTACAGCCTTAATATTAATGCCCAGTGTCTACTTTGACATCTACAACACTAACTGCCAACACTTTTTTAATATTTATTTTTTTAATTGTAGAAGGACACAATACCTTTATTTTGATGATTTACTCCTATGTGGTGCTGAGGATCTAAACCAGTGACTCACACTTGACAGGCAAATGCTCTACCACTGAGACACCACCTCAGCCCCTGCCAACACCTGCATGGAATGGTGATTCAATTTGATCATGTTAAATAACTTTTTAGTGGGCAGTTGAATTTAGTTTGCTGATTGATATTTTGTTCAGGATTTTTGCACCTTTATTCATCAAGAATATTAGCTGTGGATTAGTTTTGTGTGTGTTGTCAGGTTTGGGGATCATGGTAATGCTGGCTTTATCAAATGTATTTGGAAGAATTTATTTCTCTTCCATTTTGGGGAATAACTTAAGGAGAACTAGAAACTGTTCTTCTTTAAATATTTGATAGAACTTAGCAGTAAAGCTCTCTTGTATTGGTATTTTCTTTCCTGGAAGGCTATTACTACTGATTCAATCTTGTTACTTCTTATTGGTCGGCTCAGTTTTTTGTTTTTTTTTTTTTTTTAATTTCTTCATGATTCAACCTGGATAAGATATATATGTGTAAGTGTTCAGGAATTTGTTCATTTATTCTAGGTTACCAAATTTTTGCAAATAATAACAAATATGGATATCTTTGTTCCTAATAATCTCGAATGAACCTTTGTATTTCTGTGATGACACTTGCAATGACCCCCTTCTCTTGTCTGAATTTGAGTCTTCTCTCTCCTTTGCCTAATTAGTCCAGCTAAGGTTTATCACTTGTGTTTAGTTCTTTGAAGAACTCCTTATTCTATTACTCTCTTGTGCTTCTTTTTTGTCTCTATTTCATTTATTTGTGCTCTCTTCTGATCTTATTATTTCTTCCTTTCTGCTAATATTGGTTCTGGGTTTGGGTACCAGACATTTTCTAATACACTTGATCAATAAGAGTCTCCCAGGCTTTCTTATAAAGCACAGGGGACTGGGCATTTCACTGGCTTTTCTATTACATCTAACCTGGCACATACACTTTTCTGAGCCACAAAGCACATACTTCGGATTCCTTCCTCTACTGCCTTTCTTTGAACTTATGGATTTTTCCATTTCTTTTAGGGTAGGATATCAATTGCAACCTGAAAAAAGGAAATCTCCTGGGATACTAGTGCCATCTAACACTCAAGCTAAAAGCTATGAACCATAATTATGAACTCTTTCTCATGCAGCTGTGATCCCATCCTCACTGTGCCCACCATGACTCAGCATGCACAGTCCCTTCTCCTGCGTCTGATCATCCTCTGCCAGGCAGGCCCTTCCCTCACAGTAGGCCTGGCACCTCCATTGCAAGGTGATGTGCTGCTGGGTGTAGGCATTGTTCAAAGGGCAGAGGGGAAGTGGGCCATGTCCTGGGACATGAGATTGCTGTCCCCTCCTCCTCAAAGTAGGGGAACATGCCCACCTTAAACAGGTAGAGCAGAGAGTTTGGGAAGGGTCATTCTTGCTCTGCCAGCTCAGCCCTTCAGAGGTATGGGGAGGGGGTGCCTAAAGGGTCCTTTCTCACCAGCCCAACCCTTACTCGCCTTTTCCTTCATAGGGACTCACTCACTTTGCTATGATTTCACCATCAATTCTAAGCCAGCACCTGGACAGCAATGGTGTACAGTCCAAGGCCAGGTGGACCACAAGAATTTTCTCTCCTATGACTGTGGTCTGGACAAGGTCAAATCCATGAGTGCCCTGGGAGGGAAAGTGAATGCCACAATCACCTGGGAAGAGCAAAACACCATGCTGAGAGAAATGGGGGATATGCTAAAACAGCAACTGGCTGACATTAAAGCAGAAAATGGCATGGGCAGGGGTAAGTAAGGATGGTCCAGGGGCATGAGAGAGCTGACTGTGGGTGTAGAGATATTGATTGTATCCATGTTTTAAAAAAAGGATGTTTTTCACTCTAAAAAACCCACACAAGACTGGTTTGGGGGAGAAAACCAGCCAGATTAGGAGGCCAGGGAAGGTGGTACTGGATGGGACATAGGATTTGTTAAGCATGGAGGCTGATCTCTCTCTGATGGGGGCAGCTCTCGAGACCCTGGAGGGGAGGATGACTTGTCAGCATAAATCCAGTGGATGCACCAGTGGCTCCTGGCAGTTTGGATTCAATGGACAGATGTGGCTCCGCTTTGACTCAGACAAGAGAAGCTGGACAGAGGTTCATCCTGGGTCCAACTGGATGAAAGAAAAGTGGGAAAATGACAGGGAAGTGTCCGAATTCTTACACAAGACCTCAATGGGTGACTGTAGAACCTGGCTTGAGAAGTTCTTGGTGGAATGGAAAACAGAGCTGGAGCCAACAGGTAACTGGCAGGAGGGGGAGGAAGTGGGAGCTGCCTTCATATGAGATGCTGCTACCTGTGTGTGTGTGTGTGTGTGTGTGTGTGCGCACCTGTGTGTGTGAGAGAGAGACACATCATCCACCTTGAGTCAGACCTGGGTTAACAGCCAAAGGTATAGTCTTCCCATCTTTTCCCTTCTCACCTCCTAATGCCTCTTCCTCAATGCACATGCTTTGGTCTGGCATTTGTTCGTCTCTTTTTGGAAATTCTTGTGAATCACTTCACATGTCAGCTCCTGAGACCCTTCTCCACCACCATCCTCATGGGTCACCTCATATTCTGCCACCAGGAAGGATGGGAGTTGTATGTCACCCAGGCTTCTCCCTTTATCTATGTGAGCTCCTTAAGGTCAGGACCCTTCTCCTGTCTCCCTCCTTCTCATGACCTGTCATAGCAGCTGCCACATAGCAGAGGTCTAGGAACTATCTGCCTGCCTGAGTGACGTGGGGCAGCAGGAGCTGAGCAGGCATCTCCACAGATTTTGGTCTGAAAAAGGGCTAACGCTCTTGTGTTCCCATTTCAGGACCTTCAACCACCACCCCAGACAGAGTCTCCCAGGAGTCCACAGCCAGCACCCTTATTCCCTCGGTCCTGCTCTTGATCCTCACCTGCTTCATCCACCTAGGCCTCCAGATCTTCCTGACAGGTGCTGTGGGCAGAATGGGAAGAGAGACATGGGGCAGCTGTGTGAGCAATGAGGACAGGAAAGTGAACTCCCAAGAACCCAGTCTGCACTCTGACTGGTCCTTCTCATTCTGAGATGAGACAGAAGAATCGGGCCTCCCTCCTGTCACTGGTAGCAATAGCTTGGCCATTCTGAGCCCTGAGCTCTGAGAAATCCTTCCTGTTAGGGTTCATGGGAAAGAGAAGGGGCCATACCAAGGCAGCCTGTGGATTCTAAAGGGTTTTCGCTTATACAGGTCTGATTCAGACCACATTTCTACAAAAAAGGGGCCCAGTGGTGTGTGGTGAAGAGATAACAGGAACACAGGAAGGAAATACCCAATCCTGGGTGATGGCAGCAGGGTAGCTCCATTCAATTTGTTAAAAGAAAGGAACTCCTTACCCACAGTCAAAAAGAGAGGTCCTATGCTAATTCCAGGAGAGGAAGCAGGAAAGGCCTTTCTCAACCAAGCTTGGAAGGCTGGAGTTCAGGACTGCATTCCCAAAGGAGGCTCATTTCCAGCTGTTGAATTGATAACTGAGAAGAGAGTCTGTCCAGGATGAACGCAGAGGATGCCAGCTCTCTGGGGACTCCTACAACTCCAGGATTGACCCTTGGGCCTGGGACCCAGCCTCCTGCAGACTCCAGATCCTGAGCCTGTGTGTGTGTCCCCTTCTCTTACTGTGCCCTTGGGTGTGGCCTACCCAGGTGTCAGTCAACCTGCTGACAGTGGACATCATGAAGATAGACTCAGCCCCCTGAAAACCTGACCCTTTGCCTCATTTGAATAGCTTCTCCTCAATAAAAGGGGTCAACTAGTGCTCTTGCTCTCTCTCTTCCTGCGGACACTTCAGGTCAGAAGAACCCTCAAAGCAACCCCAAAGAAAAAGGTATTTGTGTCTCTTGTGTGGTTATTTTGCGCAGTCTAGTCAACCCAGTTCAACTGGAGTAACCCCTGAGCACGAGAACAGAAACCCGGCAATAAACCAATTACTACAATAAATCCCTTGGTTCTGTTTCCCTGGAAAATCCTGATCAAAAACTGAATAGAGAATGAATGACATTTTGTGCTTTTTTCCAATTGTAAACACAACGAGTGATTTTGCTAAATTTGTGTATGTAAGTAGAATTGAAGGATTAATCTTAAACTACCAGGTAGTCTAGATGTCAATCTCAAACATTTTGCTGGCTCAAAACAAATTTTATTGTGCTTAAGGAATGAAATTTTTCCCGGTTCTACCCGAGTGTATGTCACCCTTGATAGTGATTTTTTGTTATTATTGTTATTCCTCAACCTGACCTCACCTTTAATTAGAAGTAAGTTGTATGCATGTAAGTATGGGTGTATATAGTGGAGTGAAAATTAAAAAAAAAAAAAAAAACAGTTCCATTTGTTCTCTTCCTTCCCCAGTAAAAAAAAAAAATCTTTAAAAAATTTTTTTACTTATTCAAGGATAGGATTAATATTCAAAATATATGAAGAATTTCTACCAAAGTCAGTTCTTTTGACATATGTGTATATGCTATGAGCAATTCACAGCATATAATCCTGCACCAAGATTCTACAATCTGAAATAATCAGGAGCACAGATTAAAAGCACACTGGGCCATTATTACAACCATCAAATTGACAACTTCTTGCATATACATGTACCAAGTGGGGAATAGGAAAAGGATCAACATAGCTGTCATACTTGTTGGTCAGAACATAAATTGAATCCATCCTTTGATATGTAACTAGATAATAACCTGTACAGTTAACAATGTGCTCATGCAACTTCACAACAATCTCGGCATTATTTCTGGGTTTCCGAATGTGTTCATATAGCATTTAGATATATAGTTGCTTATTGTAGTGTGGTAGTGTAGCCAGAAAGAGTTCTGGTTATTTCATTTTTCCTAGATTGTGGTTACCAAGGTAATAGGCCTTATATCCCTGTGTGGCAAGTTAGAAAAAACATTAAAAGCATAATTTTGCATTTGTGTTCCAAGTTTTTACACATTGCAACACACCTCCTCTTTATTCAAATCATTCTGGGTTTCTAATCTGGCTTAAGTCTTGGAATTGATTGAGGTAATACAGCTGTTTTTATTATTCCAGTTAGACCTTCCCCCTTGGTCTTAAACTCTTCTGTTTACTCAGATCCAGTGAGGATTTAGTAAACCTCTCATATCTTTCACTTCCAGGAACACCATGAACTCACATCCTCGGGCTGCAGGAGTCAGACTGTTCTGTTTGCTGTTTTGACTCTCCTGCCCATTACAGTAGCCCCCTTTGCTCTGCAGCTTGAGTGCCATCAAATGATTCCCATTGCATTTTAGTGTCCTAATTCAGGGATGTGGGCAGGATGTGGGGACAGACAGGATTGGCTTCATCAGGTCAGAAGGTTGTAAGAGGATGTGAGGGCATCTTACCTTCAACTCATGCAGCCAACTGACTGGTACCCATTGGACTAGAGCTATCATCAAACTCCAGACCACCCCCACCCCCATCACAACTCTAAATGAGCTCAACTTGAGCCTGTTTTGCAGCATTCTAACATGTAATAAGTTTCTTATCTTAGCTAAGGTGGGACAAATAATACAATACAACATTACATCTGAAACATGAATCAAACAAAGGCTAAGAGAGCTTTTAACTTTCTTTTTTGGAAAAAGTGACAAAAATGCTTCCATGTTTTACAATTTCAATTTAAACAGATCAGGCTCTCCTTACTAGCTTCCAAAAATGCATTTAAATTCCAATTCCTTTGTGAAGAGTAAAACCAAATGGTATATATAACTTATTGACAACAGGTTACTTGATCCAGCTATAAAACCTCAAATGACATGAATAAATACCAACCAAATTTGTTATTTTTATACAAATCAGAGATTTTGTTACACATAATTTTAGTTTGTAGAACACCAACTTGACAAAGCTTTGCATTTAACTAAGTGTAACTTTTAAAGTGCAATTTAGAATCCACAGTGTATAGTAACAGTAATCACAGGTCTGTAGGGGTTAGCAAAATCAATAGCATTAAATCTCTTATACATTTAGGAAACAGGGTCAATGATAAGAAATTGACTTAATCAAAGCAAACATATATAAGAAAGGTCTTCAATTGAGAGCATGCCCTTCAATATCAGATATAATGTATAAAAGAGAGCACTTAGTGGTTATTTTGCCTTTAAACTTCAATACACATTCATTTTATAAACTTTTACAAAACACATACACAAGGTTTAGACAGCTATGGTTTTCAGACGCATACATAAACCCAGTCACATATATTTAGGGTGTCATATATATTGGTAGGTTTAAATAACAGTTGCTTGTTTAACCAGTTACAAAGTAATCATTTCAGACTTTCGAACAGGTACAAACCCTAATTACCTTAAGACTTAATTTCCCCTTTCCCCGAAAAAACCTAACAAATACAAGAAAATTATCTTGATAGATAAATTATAGCCAATTTAATCACATATACAAAGTTTTTTGAGATTTACCTTCCCCAAACTTTCTGCAACTTACTTAGACATTCACAACTTTACATCCTTAGTTTTGTCCTCATTCATCTTGGACTTTAGCACAAGAATGTTGTTTTACCAGACAAATTACTTTCTCATTCAGAAACATTTCTTTTACCATCTAATTTTCCATACTAAAATATGTATCTATTCCTGTAAAGTTCTTTTATCTTTTCTAGTTTTGAAACCTCTTTTAAATTCATATTCTGAAACAATCCTTATGAATATTATCTGTGCATTTAATTCACACAACGAATTTCATCCCAGGAGAGGGTTGGGCCATCCAGCATATACAAAAACTGTGATTTAATCTTTTTTCTCCTGTGTTGCATTCAATTACTTTTTTAAATCTGACCTGTCTCCATGAACACTATCACAATGCCATCAACTTTAAGTGAGTTCCCCACTGTCACTTGTACCCAGAGGCTCCTTTTGGGCCTTTTCTTATACTAGGCAGACTGATATGCAATGCAAGAAGCCCTTTCCATTTTTCTCTTTAGGAGTTCTTGAAGATTCCTTTGTAGAGGCTGCCTATGAAATACAGGTTGTCCTTAGTTTCTGTCTTTTTCTTTTCTGTGTGCAGTTATGTGTCCTGCCAGACTCCCCAGACTTTTAGTTTGATAGGATAGTGTTGTAGCAAGAACACCCCTTTGTCCTACTACCACACCCTTCTTAAGCTGCCTCCATCCCCCCCAACCCCCACACCAGAACAAAAGGGGCAGAAAGGCAGGACAGAGGCCAGGCTCTCTTAGGCTATTGTTCTAGAGCCCAGGCAGTTTTCTGTGATTTTCCCCCAGGTTTGGGGCTGGTGTCCTTGACCCACAGTGAGATGACCTGCAGCTGACAGGGGCCAGGATGAGGAACAGTGCTAGGAGTGCCAGCTCTGGGTTTAAAGACTGAAATCTTTTGACCCTTTCCTCTGGTGTCTTGCTATCCTTGCACACCAGCAGCAACGCCTTTGGCACCTTCCGCTTAGTTCCTGATGGTTGAGAACCCTGATCTTCCTAAGTGCCCATCCATACAGGATCCTTCATGTACTTTACCCTGACAGGCCTACCTCAACTTCCAAATCATATAATAATACAGAAAGTTCAAGAGCAGCCTCAGCAAATTAGGCCCTAAGCAAGTTATTATGATCCGGTCTCAAAAATAAATAAATGATTTAGAAAAAAATCTGGCACTGTTGCTCAGTGGTAAAGGGTCCATGGGCTTAGTTCCCATAATCAAAATTTTTTTTTAGTAAAAAGGAAAACCATGGGCTGGGGTTGTAGCTCAGAGGTAGAGCACTTGCCTAGAATGTGGGAGCCACTGGTTTGATACTTAGCACAACATAAAAATAAATAAAATAATCATATTATGTCCATATACAACTAAAAAAGCACATTGAAAAAAAAAGTTAAACCGTGGACTGGGGCTGTAACTTGGTGGCAGAACACTTGTCAAGCATGTGCAAGGCCCTGTGTTTGATACTTAGCATCACGTAAAAATAAAATGAAATAATTTTAAAAAGTAAAACTGTGTAAGTATATATTACCTAATAGTTTTCATAATAATATTAGCATACCACACATGAGATCACCTGAATAGGTAAAAGTTATTGTCCCTCTATACCCAACACAGAATGCCTATTCGGAAGCCTGAGAAACATACTTATTTTCTCTTGGAGTTCTCTCAGTTAATCTTGAAAAACTGATTCAAGAACCTTTGCAGAAAAAGAAAAAAAAAGAATTTTTTCTGGGTCTCATATCAAGAAGACTCAGGTAGTCCTTATAAATGCTCCCCTCTAAACCAGCACTTCTCAATTACAGATGATTTTGTATATCAGCAGAACATTTGGCACTGTCTGAAGGCAAGTTTGGCTATTACAACTGGGTAGAGGGTGTTATTCATCCAGTGAACCAGGTTTGCATCCCCAACCTATCTACATAGCACAGGCTAACTGACCGTGGCTAAGTATTATCTGGCCCAAATGACAGTAATGATGAAGCTAAGGAAACTTCTCAGAATTTGGTCTGGCCAGGGCCCACTTCCATTCTTTGAAGACATTTCCATTAACCACAACACATTACCCACACAATCACACAATTCCAACAGTGGTCAGCCTTATTGTGTACACATCCATCATAGCCCAGGAATGGAATTTATTTGCACAGAAAATGGGAACTCTCTGAGAACAGCGAGGGCTCTCATTATCCTGGCTCTCTCCTCCGCTGCTCGCAGCACACCCTTTTCCTGTTACCAGCTCTTTTGTTTTCCTCAAAGATTCACTCCTCCTGGCTGAAAACTAGAATCTTACCCAAAGTAAGG